GGGTAAACACAGTGCTGGGATGTGATTCCCAGAGCCTGGCTGGGGTTCCCACCCGGAGCTGGGTTTGGGAGGGGACAGGGCCACCCTGCAATGCTGCTTTTTGCTTAAACTGCCTTAGAATTTATAAACGACAGCTGCAATTCAGGAAAGAAAAAAAAAAAAGGGGACTGTTAGGAATTACTGCTGCAACTACCCATCTCCTAACTGGCATACGGTGGGAAGCCAGATAATCCATAATTCTATCAAACTGAGTAAGGAAGGAAAAAAAAAAACCCTTAAATTATCCTGATGCTGCTGAATTGGTTTTCTAAGCGTTTTGTTTTTTATTGCTTTGTTGTTTGGTGTAATAGAACATATAAGCAGAGAGAATCCAAATGAAAAACTGTTTGGTTTTTTTGTTTGTTTGTGTGGGGTTTTTTGTTTGTTTTTTTTTAACTGCTCTGAGATAAATGAGAAAATTCACAGAATCCCAGAATGGTTTTTTTGGGTTGGAAGGGACCTTAAAGCTCATCCCATTCCACCCCCCTGCCAAGGGCAGGGACACCTTCCACTGGAGCAGGTTGCTCAGAGCCCCATATGAGATACAAAAAGGGCCTTCTGGACCTTGACACACGCTTCCAAATAATATTTCATGCAAAGCTTAGAAATAAACATGTCAGGACGTTTTTCTGCTGTTTTCTGTTGGAACTGAGTCGGTGCTTTGACTCGAAGTGAGGGGGGGCTGCGAGATCACCCCTCCTGAAAAATGCATGTTTGAGGAGCATCACAAGTCTCAACCCAAAAAAGCTGCATATTTCCCCTCTTTGCTAAGAAAATTAGCACAGGAGCTTTGGGAAGTACGTCCTGAAAGTGCTGCTTTGATACGGCTCCAAGAAAGACTTGTGTGGCCTCTTGTGCATCCTTGTGGGCAAGTGGGAGCTTGTAGGAATATTTTCTTTACCTTTTCACTCTCAGGTTTTTATTTCAAAGTCAGAAGTAACTCTAAATACTGCTTGTGGTGCAGAAATTATTGAAGGGGTAGCAGGGTATGATGTGGCTGTTGGTGCTTTTTAACTTCATTCATGTGTTTTTGAGGGCTCCTGTTCGTAGCAAAAAGCATCTTTTGCTGAATGTTTCCAGAGAAATCCCATGTCTTTTCTATTTATTTATTTATTTATTTATAGCTTTTCCTCGTTTAAGAGGACAGCAAAGGAATGTTGGGATTGCCTGAGGGAAGCTCTTGCTAAGAAGCTTTCCAAGAATCGAGGAAGATTTCAGTCTTTTCATGTTGCCCTGCAGAGACATCTGCCTGCCCTTCCCTCATCCCTCGTTTTGGTCAGGTTTGCCACTGGGTTTTCATCTGGATCAGAGGCAGAGAAAGCTGTGAGAGATTTTTGGGGGGGAGGGAAAGGGCAAAACAAGGTTAGTGGCACACGGGCTGGTGGTGGAGAGGCTGCTGTGCTGGCACTGCCCACGGTGGGCTGCTGGGATAGTTTTGAGGCAGCTTGGGCTCTCCTGAAATAATAATCAACAGGCAGGACTTTATTGGCTTGTGTTGTGGGGATTCTTTGAGCAGAGGGGCCCAAAGGATGGAGAGGGTGAAGTGAATCTGATTGGCCCCAGTTAAAAGTGTTGACTCTGAGGTCTGATTTAGCTGTCTTGCTGCAGTTGCCCATGGCAGGAAACTGAGTTGATTTAGGAGAGGGTTTCCAGCCTTAAAATTCGAGGATGGGATGAATCAGACTGCTGGACACTGAGGCAGGCTGTGGCTGTGGTTGTTCCCATAAAGGCTGTGAAACTGCTCCAGTTTTCATGTGAAACTTCACTCCCCTCTTCCAGATGATGGGTGGTTGGGTTCACCTGGCTCCTGTTGTCTCTCGTTAACGTTGTTCTGCTAATATTTAGTTTTTAGTGATCATTCCTGGCTTTGAAGAAGGGAATTTTTCAGTTTGAAGATTTTGAGCAGGGCTTTTATGGGAGCTGTGTGCTGTTCTGTGCCTTGGAGGGCACAGACCTGGCCAAGAATGGCCACCAACCCCTGAGATTTCACCCCATCCCTGGAAGTGTCCACGGCCAGGTTGGACAGGGCTTGGAGCAACCTGGGCCAGTGGGAGGTGTCCCTGCCCATGGCAGTGGTGGAATGAGATGAACTTAAAGGTCCCTTCCAACCCAAACCATCCTGGGATTCGTGGGGAACCAAAACGCAGCGTTACATCTCATTCTTAGCACTGGAACTGAGAGAGAAGGTTCCCCTGGGTGGAGCTGAGTTACTAAACTGAGGTTTTAAAATAGCCAAGGATCTTGCTGGAGCTTGTGCTTTTTGGTGTAGTGATGTGGAAGTGGAACTGAGAAACTCTGGTGGTGGAAATGAAAAAAAAAACCAAAAAAAAACCAACGAAGACAGTGTTGGGGAAAAGCAAACTCGGCAAAGAAAATGCAGTTTAAATGATCTTGGGGCCTGCTTTAAATAGACACGAGTGACACCGTGGGTGTGTGGTGCTTTTGATCACTGGTGCAGAAGTTAAATGAGCAGCACATGCAAGCTGTGATTAATTATTGACAGAAGTCACTCCTTTCAATATGTACAGCCTGTGATGAGACGTGAAGGTTGAGTTCACTTGAATTCCAGAGTCGGGCAGTAATGCAAACAGCCAACTTCATACATGTGGTTCTGTTTATTATGCAAATCTCTTCCAGTGTGTTTAAATCCACATGTGGTAGCTGGGGGGGGGCGTGTTGGTGCTTCAGCAGGGGATTTTTGTGCACTTCACCACTTGGGCTTTGCCTGCTCCAGTGTTTGGGTTGTGCTGCAGCTCCAAGTTAATTTCCTTTATTTAGGAAGAAAAGGCAGATCCCTGGGCTTGTTTGTGATGCTCTGTCTATAAGTATTTGACCTTTTCACCTGAACTTCTGTGGATCTTGGGATTAATTTGGAATAAATCACTCCTTCCTGAGGAATTCCTCTGGGAGCTGACTTGGTCAGTGGCTGGTTCACTGTCCATCCCAGTGGTGGCACACAAACCTCGCTGTGTTTCGTTGCCTCTCCTCCCTGAGCTGTGCTTTGGGAATGTGCACATCTTCCAAAATAATATTTAAAGTTTTATTTTAAAGTGTCAGGAATATCTCCTGATATTCTTGTTACCCTTGTGCATCTGCCCTTTGGCTGGGGAGGCGTTTCTGCACTTCTCCAGGCTGCTGGCAGCGATCTGCTCCTCATCTATTTTGAATTTTCTGTGCTGATAAAATCCGGTGCTGCTTTTTTATCGAAGCCTGTTGACAATGAATAGAGAGCTCCCCATTTTGTTCCACACACATAAACCTCCACAAGTCAGGGGTAATAGTTGCCCTGAGACTGATGGTTTTCCTTGAATCCTGAGAATCTGCAGAGGGGCTGATGGAATGGGATATTTCAGGTCACGGAGCAGGAGCCAAATGACCCCAGTGCCTTGCCTTGCACATGGGATGCCAGACGTTAACCTGAGCCTTCAGAGCATTTTAATCTGAGCCTTTGGTTTTCCCTTCTCCCACCAGTGGGTGTGTGGGAGGCAGCTCCAATCTGGAACCCACCAAAACGCTGGTTATTTTCCCCGTGTTTTCATAAAAACACCGAGCGTCGATTCACAGCTGAAATACAAAGCCCTGTGTTAAATCAAACTGGGGAAGGCTTCCAAATTCCTGGCTGATGGATCTATCCTGTAATATTGAAGCAAAAGTAATGTATTTATTAATAGAGATACATTGGAATACACAGGTTTGCTTTGAGAATGTCTTCAGTTGGTCGCTGGGAAAGCCTGGACGGTCTCTCGAGTTAGTGAGGGTGGGGAGTTGCCTTCAGATTCTTTATTCTCCAGATCAGAAGATCAAGTGCAAGAGCCTTTTCCCTCAGCTGGAGGGGTGGCAGTGGCTTGCAGAACCTTTGCTCCCCTGTGGACAACGTGGAAGTGGAACTGAGGTGTAGCTTTCCCCCTGTTACTCCCTGTGGCATTAGGAATTGTTTGGAATGCCAGGACACTCTGTGCTGTTTAATTCCTGTACAGTTGGGGCTGTTCTGCTCAGTAGGAGTATCCTCTGTGTGTGGCACAGACACTCAGCTGGTTTGCCTGGGTCTCGGGTGGGGGGGGGCTGTGATCAATATTCAGATTGGATTTGTATCAGAAACACCACACTCTGTGTGCTTACAGCTGACCAGACCTTGGTGGAAGGGACAAAATGATGTTTGGAGCTAGAGAAGTAGAGCCTTATTTCTGTCCTTCCCCTGTGGGATTGCCAGTGAGGCTGGACCTGGGTGCAGCCCCAAGGAATCGATTTCTGTTGGGAGCAGCGATTAACTTAATTCACCATTCTTCGAGAAATCAACCCCTGCCCCCAGTAGTTCTGATTGAATTTTAAAGTAAATGGCTGTGTGGTTGATTTCTGCCTGGGCTGTACTACAGAAAAATAGCCTGTTTTATGACTGAAGAGGTGTTTTCCCCTCCCTGGGCAGGGATGTTCCCAGCGGCTCCGGTGGCTGCAGTTGTTGACATGGGGTGTGATGACGTGCAGTAGAAAATAACACGTTTTAGAACCAGCAGATTTTCTCATTCACCTGTGGGGAGGAATCACTGCTGCTGGGGGCAGCTGCAGTTGTGGATGTTAGGCGTGACAATGAGTCCAAGGCTTTTCCTGCAGAGAAGGAATCTGCCGAGGTGGACAGGGAATGGTTTGACCGTGGATACACTGGAAGAGTCCTTGCAGAACCCTGAAGGCCTGGAGGTGGTTTGGGGCTTGCTAATGCCAGGGCAGATGAGACAGGTGGACTCCCTACTGAGGGCAGATCTGTGTAGAACGGGCACTTGTGGGATTCTGGATTTTTTTGGTATGTTTTCTCCAAACCCCTGTTGTTTTGTTTTTTATCAAGTTGGACTGTCAGTCTCCTGAGATCAGGATGGATTTTGGTCAGCCAGAACCCTGGCATGAAATTGTGTGCAGCAGACCATTAAATGTCATTATCCTGACGTTGGGAATGTTCTTCTCTTTCACAGATGCCTTTGTAAATAGCCAGGAATGGACACTGAGCCGATCCGTGCCGGAGCTGAAAGTGGTGAGTTTCTGTTTACTTCTGGCTTGGAAAACATCCTGAAAATGCTAAGCACAAGTGTGAATCTTCCACACTTCATTAAATCTACTGGTGGGGGAAAAAAACAAACATAGAAAGGAATTTTAATCAGTAAAGCATTTTTCTTCTGCACAAATATGATAGAATCCCAGGATGCTTTGGGTTGGAAGGGACCTTAAAGCCCATCCCATTCCACCCCCTGCCATGGGCAGGGACACCTTCCACCAGCCCAGGTTGCTCCAAGCCCCGTCCAACCTGGCCTTGGACACTTCCAGGGAGGGGACTGTCTTTATGTATCTTCAGTTTTTACAATCATACTCCAAAGATCTCTCTGTATTTTATTGCTGTTGCAATAAAGCAGCTTCCAAGGGAGTTCTGACACGTCTGTAAGAAGGGGGTGGAAGTTTGCAGCTGATATATAAAGGTCCTTCTATCTCGCCATAAGAACTTTTCATCATTTTTTCAAGGGCCAAATGTCTTTTTTCCTGCCTCTCTTAAAAGACTTTACCTGAATTGATACTGAATTAAAAAAAAAGTATTTTGAAGGTTCATTTAGTGAATCAAAACCTAGATTTTACTGTAACAGTGAGCAGTGGTGTAACAGACTGCACTGTGTGAGTGCTTGTCTTGGGTATTTTGCCCCCGTGGTGTCTGAACCAGGGGTAGGAAAACAAATTTCAGCTGCAGAGAACCGATTAGCAAGCGGTCAGCGTGCTCTGGGTGGCTGTGCAGGGGTGGAAGCAGAACTCTGACCCTTACCAAAAGGAATAATTGGATCAGAGCACTGCACGTTGTGGATTCCAGCAGCACCAGCTGTGCCTGTGAGCTTGTGGGATTGGGAACCCCAGCTGGAATGTGCTCTGCCCTTGCTGCACATCTGCCCCTGGGGAGCAGTCGTGGCTGTGTTTCCATCTCTGGGTCCTTCCCTTCCTTCCAGCCTCGTCCTCGGAGCTCAGGGATGGCTGAGGATGGAAAGGGCCATGGGAAAGCCAAACCTGCAGGTGTGGGGATCAGTCCTGCTGGGGCAGGGTTAGGAGGGAGCCCCAGCTTTATCCTGTGGAGCAGGATGTGGGGAATAGCTCCCTGGGAGAGGTTGTCCTCTCTGCAGAGAGGTCCTTAAGTTGAGGGGTTGGTTGATTTTTATTTTTGATTTATTTGATGGTGGCTGTTGTTGTACGCTTTGGGCTCTGCAGAATTTTAAAGGGAATAGAAACTGCTCTGGGAGAGCAGGGGAAGCACCCAGAGGCTGCAATAAAGGAAGGGTTGTATTTCAACATGTCTTTGAGGGAAGAACATCAGCCTTGGCCTCCCATTTTAGCAACACTCTCGGGGCTTGGTTTCTTTCCAGTGTTCAGCAGGATTTTCAAGGTCAGGTTGGAGGGGGTTTGGAGCAACCTGGGCTGGTGGAAGGTGTCCCTGCCTGTGGCAGGGGTTGGCACTGGGTGGGCTTTGAGGTCCCTTCCAACCCAAACCATCCTGGGATTCTGGGATTGGTTTGTGCTGAGCAAATAATTCCACAGAGTTTTACCCTCTGAGGATTTTGATGGCTTCTCTGATGGTCAAGAGCGTGGTGAGACCTCTGGTATTCCTGGATCCCGTGAATCCAAATGTAAAATAAGGAAATGTTAAGCGGAATAAATATGAGGGGCCTTTTTTTGGACAAAATCACTTAATGTCTTGCAAAAAAAAAATACACCAAGGGCAGTCAGGGCAGCTTTAAAATGCCAAGTGCCATCAGTACATTTAAGCATTTTCCCCAACAGGCTTTAGTAGGATTGTGGGCAAATTGGTTTGGCTTCATTTTACAGCGTGTCTGGCACATGCAAATAAATGATTCAGTGTTGCACAAGTCATAACTGACAAGAGCACTGAGTTGCAGCTGAATTTTCTCCTCTCTGAGCTGGGTTAGGGTGGTATTTTTGTGCCCTAAGATGCTTGTCATAACTTTGTGCATTTCAGACAAATCCATAAATAAATAGAGATGACTTGGGGGGGGAGAGTGTGTGTATAAAATATGGGAGAGGGGGATATGACTGCTGTGAAAACATGCTGGCATGTTTGTCATACTGTGGGGGATCAGCCTTAAACAAGCATTAATACAGATGAAGAGAGAAACTGCATTAGAAGTCAGATTTTTTTTTTTTTTTCTGGTGTAAAATTTAACTGCTCCTGGCTTTTTAGGAGCAATTGGTTGGGAGACCTGGAGCTGTGATGCCAAGCCCTGCACTGAGCAACAGGGTTGAGTTTTAAGGTCTCGTCCAACCCAACCCAGTCTGGGATTCTGTATGAATTAATGGTTTCTTCACTGAAATAACATGTTCCTCCTCCTGATCTCGGTGCTTTTGGCATCAGCTGGCAGCTTTATGATATCCAAATGCTCTGGTGGCCAGGCATCCTTGTCTTTGTGGGTCCCTGTAAGGAGGAATGTGTCAGAGAACCTGAAGTGCTGTAAAATGATGTATTCTGATGTGACCTTTGGGATACTTAAAAAAAAAAAAAAAGTTGTGTTCTCAAGTTAGTTGATGTCTTGCAAATATTTGGGGTCTCTCAGTAGAATGAGTTACCCCCATCCATGGCCAAAATATGTAGGATGTTCACTCTCACTGGACCCCAAGTTGATGTTTTTCTGTCATTCCTGGCAGTTAAAACTTTGGCATAAGTAGAATATAAAATGATGTTGGTTTCCGTACACACGGGACTTGTAAGCAGCTTTTGATATGAAGGGCTGTTTCTTAGGGCTTAGAATTAAGAAAGTGGAGCAGGGACTGTGCACTGATGTGTTAACTTGTTCCTGCTGCCTCGGTCAGTTTGGCAATCTTGGGCCCATCAGCAGAGTTCATCCTGTCTCTGGGGATCTTATGTTCTGAACCTTTGGTGAGGGTCAAGTAAACATGTGAGAACAGAGTAGGCTTGGTTTGTTTTAAAGGCTGAAGTAAGTTCCCATCTCCTCCCCCAGAAACCCCAGTGTCCTCAGCACTGTGTGCCCTTTTATAGCAGCAGAAAATGCAGATCTCCCGGTCTTTTGGCACGTGAGCACCTCCAGCAGGAAAACTCCTGTGGTGTTGGGCTGCTTGCTGTGGCTTCTGCCTGGGTTTGAAAAACAAGTGCCAGTGAACCAGCTCAGCAGAAAACTCCTGTGAGCTCCAGGATCAAGGGCTGCTGGTGGTTGTCAGATGTTCCCAGGCAGGTGTTGGGCACGGATGGGTTGGGTTGGGAGCTTCTTGGTAAGGTCAGGGACTTCAGCACGTCCTGGTGGGGCATTGTGAGAGCCTCTTCCAGTGCCTAGAGGGGCTCCAGGAGAGCTGGAGAGGGACTGGGGACAAGGGATGGAATGATAAGACAAGAGGGAATGGCTACTCACTGCCAGAGGGCAGGGCTAGGTGGGATAGTGGGAAGGAATTCCTCCCTGTGAGGGTGGTGAAGGCCTGGGCTGGAATCCCCAGAGAAGCTGTGGCTGCCCCTGGATCCCTGGAAGTGTCCAAGGCCCAGGTTGGACGGGGCTTGGAGCACCCTGGGCTGGTGGAAGGTGTCCCTGCCCATGGCAGGGTTGGGATGGGATGATATTTAAAGTCTCTTCCAGCCCAAACCATGCTGTGCTGGTGGCCATGCCAAGATGTGTCTGCCCACACCACACGGATCATGTGGGCTTCGAGGTGAGTCCGTGGGAATCACAGGGTGTGTTCTCCAGTATGAAAACTTTGTGATGTGTTTGTTTCCCGGTGAAGAGGGGCCAGGCTCCCCCTGAAGCCTCTGTGTTCCCTGGTGTCCCTGCTCAGCATCGGTGGGCAGCTGAATCGAGGAGTGCTACGGACAGAGCCCGAGTTCCTGTGTCAGCTTAACTTGGTCTTGGGCCTTTTCCTCAAGGGCTGAGGTGTTATTTCGGGGTTCTCATGGAACACACTGCCTTTCCCAGGGATTAATGCACTGGGTTTTTGTTCCCTCTGTGTGTCCAGGGGATCGTGGGTAACCTGGCCAGTGGCAAGTCCGCGCTCGTGCACCGGTACCTGACGGGCACCTACGTCCAGGAGGAGTCCCCCGAAGGTACGTGCCCTGCACACCTCACCACTGCTCTGCCCCCACAGAAAGACTGCATCTTGATCCATTTTTTAAATCATGTAGAAATGAATTAGCAGAGAGTCTGATTTGCTGTTTCAGAATTCATGGAGATTTTTCCTTTAGTGCTCCAGACTGAGCTCAGTGTGCAGGATGATGTATAATTGTAGCTGTTCCATAACTCCTGAGCATCCTTAAATACTTTGGCCCCCAGGATGTGTCCTTATGGGAAGCTCAGTCCTGGTGGAGAGCAGCTGACTGCTCTCAGTGGGGCTGTTGAAAGCCACAGTCCCTGTAGCAGAGGATTTCTGCAGAATTGGGGTTTGGGGAGAATAAAACAACTTCATGAGCTTAAAGTAAAGATATAATTTGTTCATTGTTTAATATATTAAGTGTTTAGTCTTGACTTCTTTTTAATGTTCTCAATAGCGTAGCAAATGAATTTGTGCATTGTAGTGTTTAACATTAATCCAAAAATGTCACAGCACAGCACCTTATCGTGGTGTATCTTACAGTAAATACTTTTTTGATTATTTTTCTTTATCTGTTCTCCTTATGAACTTTTAAATCCAACTCTGAGACACTGAATTTCTGGTTCCTTCTTTTCCTTACTGGCTGTTCCATTCTTTGCAGATATGGATGCAGGTAACTATACATTGTCTCCATGGCAGCTCTCCTTTGGAAGGGACAGACGGCGGTTTCTGTGCTAGAGCATTTCCCCCTTGTTTTGTGTACCATTTTGAGTTGTTTCCTTTTGATTTCGAGTCTTTAGTACATCTCACTGTTTTTTGTCTCTTGCTGTAGTTGTCTCCTCAGCAGTAGTTTGTAGCTTCATGCATCTCTGATAACATTTGTTCCTAATTAACTCTTACCAAAGGAAGCTGTTCAGCTCCGCAGTTGACATTTTAACAGCCTGGAGTTGTAGTTAAAAGTGGGAGGAGAGGGGAAGGGAAGGATGGACAAGGCTTTTTTTAGTGTGGAATTGCAGCAACAGCGAAGGTTTCAGTTTCTAACTTTGCCCTAAATGCTTTTGCTGCTTTGTAGCTAGAACTGATAATGATAATTGATAATGATTGGTAATAATAATAGTAAAGCTACATGTGTAGATCCTGTTTCTGGATGCTGACAGTGGGAAATGGTGATGTGAGGGGCAGATCCACCGATTTACAGCAACCCTTCAGCAAAAATCAGTATCCCAACATCTCTTCACGAGCAGAAAATATTTGGGGGCTGTTTTCTCCTTGCAAGGCTCTGACCTATTGGCTGTTGCCAGGGCTGGCAGCCCTCTCCTCCTGAGGGATGGATATTTGAGGTGGTATTCCTCGGGAGCGTTGCCATCTGTCCTCTTTGTCTCCAAGGATTTTTATTTACACTGACGTTCCCACTGTTTTTCCTGGAAGGATTAGATGACAAAAGCAGTGTCAAATCATTTCTTTGCCACGTTAAGTGCAGCTGACAAGCCTCACTAATGACACTGCTGCATTTCATTAACAGGAGGAAAACTGGAATAATTAAGGGCTTTAATTCGCCTTGTGTGAGGGAGAAGGTGAAGATTTCTAATCAGGTTAATACTGAAGGAGATTCAACCCGTAGAAACCATCCTTAATAAATACCTGTAGTGGTGATTTGGTAGATTTTGTCATCCAAGCACAGTCCCACAGAGCGTGCAAAGTGTTTACATCGGAGACCCCTCATTTCTGAGGGATGATAAAGGTGCTGGGTTGTTCAGCTGATAAAGAAGGGGATGGATGTGGGATTGTTGAGGTGTCAGCTGCTTGATTAGGGGAGAAAACCCCAAGTTCACTGACTGTGAGGTGGCTTCCCAACAGCTCCATTTGTCAGGGGTGATGCAGGGAGTACCCAGTGGGTAAAGGGATGGGTTTTGCTCCAAGAGGAGGACTCACCCTATGGGGTAAAGGAGTTTTCTCTCCCTGTCTGGCCTAACTTTTATTTCTGATCACAACTTTTTAGTCCCTGGTGTGTTTGAAACATGAAAACCTTTGTTTTCTCAAAGTATAGAAGGGTTTGTTAGGAGGAAAATCTGCTTTTAGACTCTTCCTCTGCATACTCAGCATGCACATGGCTGTGCTGCTGTGTGACACATTTAAAATCAGATGGATTTGGATGTAAGGAAACAAGTGATGCCTTACCCTGCAGTGAGTGGGAATCTCAGCAGTCTGGGACTTCCAGAGGTTTTTTTGGGTTTTTTTTTTTTGATGATACAACAAGCAGGTGATGGGAAATAGGGAATCCTGGTGACTTTTTTTATGTTTTAAGTGCCTTCCAAGTGATTGGAAGACAAACTCCTGCTGCTGGGTGTGTGAGAGGCTGAAACAGCAGGTAAGGTGTGGGAAGCCTGATGTGTCTTTCTTTTCCCCCAACTAAAACTGAATTCTGCCTGTAGGAACAAAGTGAAACCGGGGGAAGGTGTTGGGGGTGTGGAATTTGAGGCTGAGTTCTTTGCAGACAAAGGTGAGCTGAAGTTTTACAGGAGTAGGGGAGTGTCAGGAGATGCTGTTACTTTTCGTTTCCAAAAAGCCACCGAGGTGTGAAAGCTGACTTGAAGGCTTTTCCACACCTCTGGCTATGTCTGTAAATGTCTTAAACACCATATCATGATTATTTCAGTACCTTTTTTCCAGTGAGTATAATAAAAAAAAAGGGAAGATAAATTGTCCAAGGTGTCTCAGCTGGGATGAGGAAAAAGGAGGGTTTTTTTCCCTCTGTGTGCTTTGGGGTATATTTAAGATTTTTTTTTTAGTTTTTTATTTTTTTTTCACATGGAGTAAATAGGTTCTGTGTTTCTAAAGACATAAAACCCATCCAGCATCCTGACTCGAGGCAGCAAGTAGTTCTTGCAGTCAGAGATTTCATCTCCTGTGTGTGGAGGAACTTGTAATAAAAATGAAAATTTCCCCCAGTAAGAGCCACAGAATAAAACCTTTAATGGTGTTCTGCAGAAAGCCGTGAGCATTTACTTTCTCTCCAAATTTGACCTAAAAATAATTTTATACTTTTGCAGCTTTCACCAAATAACTTTTTTTCAGTAGCACAATGAACAGTGTATCCCTTGAACAGCAGGAATGGTCACGAAATGGTGATAAAATAGCAGGAATGGTCATGGTTATTGTTAAAATGCTAAACCAAGTGTCACCTTCAGCCTTCCCTTTGAAGAATTGTGATGGAAGTATCATGAAGATAAGTTCCCAACCTGTAACAAAAACACGTGTTAATGATCTTAAAGGTCTTTTTCCAACCTAAAGGATTGTGATTCTGTGAAAAAAATTACATCTTGGGGGATGGATGTCCATGGTTTTCAGTTTATTGTCTCTAGTAACTATTTCTGTCCCATTCTTCCCCAGCAGAGGGTAATTATGCAAGGAGGATCGAGGCAGACTGCTTTAAAATTTCAGCTGCTTTCCTTCCCATCCTCTTAAGAGATTTTGTCTGGTTACAGACTCTTACACAATATCTGTGCAGAAAGTTCAAGCACAGTCTATTAACTGGGATGACCTGCCAGGTGGCTTCAGTCAGGTCTGATGCTTCTTCCCTCGCTGGGGTGAATCCAAGAGTGGAGCTGCTTCTGGGGAAAAAAAAAATAAATGTTAAAAAAAAAAGTCAGACCAGGTTGGACGGGGCTTGGAGCAACCTGGGATGGTGGAAGGTGTCCCTGCCCGTGGCAGAGGGTGGGACTGGGATGGGATTTGAGGGTCCCTTCCAAGCCAAACCCCCTGAGATTCTGGGACCCCTTCACTTTTTGGTGTTTTGGGTTGAATAGAACATGGGAGCTGCAGCAGAACTGCCCAGTTTTCCCTTCTGTAGCTCTGACTCTCGTTCCCATCTCCCTGTGATTCATGTAATCCTTCCTGCTGGGAACAATTAGGTTCCTAAGGTTGCCAGTCTCTTTACAGGAGCCACTGGCTATTTTTATCTAGTTAATATATTTTTTTTTTTTTCAAATAAGTAGGAAGGCCATATTTAGTATAAACACCCCAATTTGATCTCTGCTGAATAAAGAGAGGATGTGCCCCAGACTAATCTGTGCTCTCTGTTCTCAGCAAGCAGCTGGCTGAGATGCAAATGAAGAGCAGGGAAATGTGTCCCCCGAGGCTGTACTGAGGTGCTTGTCTTGGAAGCAAGTCTTGCTTATTCATCCACGGTTTTTTGGGATCCCAGAAGATGGCCATCATACACGTTTACACACTCACATCACGCCTGTTTATGTGCTTGCACAGGGAGATTTTTGCAGGAGTGCCAAATGCAAAGGAGTTCAAAAAAGCCACGTTGAGCTTAAAGTCACATTTTGAGGTTCTCGAGCCACCAAACTCAGGGAAGCTGAAATTTTTTGCACGTGGGTTTCAGTGTTTACAAAGCTTTTTGTTTACAGATCCTTTCAGTGTTTCACGAGCTCCTGCAGCACTTGGGGGCAGCTGAAGGTACCTGAGTAGTTTTTCTGTGTGTAAACCCACACGTGTGCAGGGGACAAGGGGTGACTTGAGCCACGTGTTTCAGAATCACCCATTTCCAGTTCTTTGTCTTGCCTTCTTTCAAAGCAGCGTTGGCTGATTATTTTTATTTGGCATTTCACACTGACACCCAGCTATGAAACAGCACTTGTCTCTTTTTGATCCTTTTTAAAGTGCTGCTGCAGTGGGCTCTCCTGGGCTTTTGGAGCCTTTCAGGCTTAGCATAAAAGACACAAAATGTTTATGTATTCTGCCCCCTCCCCTCTGGAGCCCTTCCCTCTCCTCCTCCTCCTCCTCCTGGGACTGCCTGTGTGGGTTGGAGAAATCCTTTGAAAACCTCTCTGTTCCAGCCGTCGAGTTGGTGACTGTTTCAAGTGCCACACAAATAAGGAACTCTGGTAATTAAAGGAAGAACTCGAGAATTTGCTCTTTTCCTGGGGAGAAGGTGCTGAAGAAGCATTTTCCTACAAGGGGCTTCCTTTTTTTTCCAGCTCTTTAAGGTGATGCCTTTAACCTGTTGCACCTTGAATACTCCAAGGTTTGGAATGAATGATGTTTGTAGGATTTGTGCCCTTCTCCCAAAAGGCTCCTTGGAATGTTGTGTTCCTAGGTTTAAATTGTACTGCAGGGTTATAGCTGCTCTTGATAGCAATGCAAGTGGCTTCTCCCAAGTAACAAGCGATAGGGCAGGGGAAATGTCCTCAACCTGTGCCAGGGAAGGTTAAATTGGATATTAGGGGAAATTTCTTCACCAAAAGTGTTGTCAAGCATTGGAGCTGTGATTCTGTGAACAGGCTGCCCAGGACAGGGGATGGAGTCATCATCCCTGGAAGTGTTCCAGAAACGTGGATGTGGCACTTGGGGATGTGGTTTAGTGGTGTCTTTGGCAGTGCTGGCTCAGTTGTTGGACTTGATCTTAGAGGGCTTTTCCAGCCTTACTGAGTCTGTGATTCCAAGATTCCAGTGCTCCCTGCTTTCTGCTGCTGAGTCAGCAGCCAGTTTGGAGTGGCTGCTGCTGGAAGAAGGACCTGCCTCCCACTTTATTTCTCAAATATCACTCCTGGGTGTATTTCTGAACGTAGCCCATTATTCCACTCCCGATCCCAAAGCCCAAATCTTAACGTGTTCTTTGAACGTGTTTCTTGTTCAGCTTGTGTTTGGTTTCTTATTGTCCTTTTC